ATAGCTAAGAGATGGAAAAAACCTAAGTGTCCCTCAATTGATGAGTGGATAATGAAAATGTGGTTCATTTATACGATGGAGTTTTACTCAGCAGTAAAGAAAGATGAAATAATGAAATTTGCAGGTAAATGGATGGATCTAGAAACTGTTATCTAAATGAGGTAACACAGACTCAGAGGGAAAAAAAAGAAGTATGTTCTCCCTCTTTTGTGGATCCTAGCACTAAATTCTTATGTGGTATATATTCTGATGTAACTGCAGGAACCAACCAGGAAAATGGAAGAGAAGCAGGGGGGTAAAGGGAAAGAAGGAACCTGAGAGAGAAGAACAGTAGGAGACAGGTGTTACTAAGGGAGACATGTGTAAAAGGGGCGGTAGCTGAATGAGATGGGGAGGAGGAGGGCTATACAAAGAACTATGGGAATAAAGGGGAAGAAGGAGCTCAAGAGAGGTGGGACCACAGCAGACAGGAATTATCAAGGGAGAAATGGGGAAAATGGGGACACTTTAAATGGAGAGGGCAGGGAAGGAGGATAAGACAGGGAGAGAGAGAGGAGAGATAAATAATGCCTAACTAGTATAAAAATCCAGAGGGAAGCCGGGCCTGGTGGCGCACGCCTTTAATCCCAGCACTTGGGAGGCAGAGGCAGGCGGATCTTTGTGAGTTCGAGGCCAGCCTGGTCTACATAGTGAGTTCCAGGACAGCTGGGGCTACAGGGAGACCCTGTCTCGAAAAGACAAAAAAAAAAAAATCCAGAGGGAACTGTATTAGTCCAAAAACCTACTGAAAAATTACACATAATAATATCTCTACACGAGTTTATGTGCACAGCTGAAGGCTACATAACGGTGCCAGACAAGAGAGACCTTCCTTTGAGCTGTTGGCCAGGGTATTCCAAGAGACTCACAAAATTACACAGGCTATTGCCACAGCCCTTGATTGCCTCCCAGAACTTGAAGGTAAGACCCTATTGCTGAAGACAGGACATACTTTGGGCATAGGATTTGAAGTGGAGCTGGAACTGACCTGGAAGCCACCTCCCCTGAAGGCTAGCTTTCATAGCTTTGGAGAGCAGTATGTGAACTGCTAAGGGAGAAGAACATCAATAGATGGTCCAAACCAGCTTCAAGGCTTAAAATCATATGAATGACCAGCACAACAAATGACATTGATGCAGTAGCACCACTTTTATCTTGGAAGTAATCAACAGCTACCTAATTGGACTTAAAGCCAATTTGATGGGCGGAAACTCATGTGTGGTACTGTAAACCTAGCCAAATACACATAGCTGGAGAGGTCACAGATCTTAGAGAAAACCCCAAGGTTGTCACATCCCTAGACAAATAAAATTTCTTATTATGTGCAAAATATGGATCCTTCAATTTACAGACAAGTATCCCAGTTACCACCCATCAAAGAAGCTTCTTTTTCAACAGTCAGAGATTATTACCTAGTTCCACAACTGGTCACACACAGCGATTGTCTATGAATTGCCCAAGCCTAAGTGGCACATCTAGGCTGCAACCTCTACACCTACGGCCCACAGAACATAGAACTAGGGATGAAGAGAACACTAATGCATCTTTCAGTGAAGCTCCTCATGCAACAGAGGGCCAGGAACACAAAAGGTCACAAATGGCCAAAATGCAGAGAATAAGAGTCTACAGAGTGTGGGTCTTTGAACAGGACTCCTGTATTAAAATCCACCCACCAGGACCATTGCAGAAGAGGCAGTGAAAAGATTGTAAGAGCCAGGGAGAATGTGCATGACCACCTGGAAGTGGAGTCCTACAGACACCTGGGACTCTTCTCAGATGAACCTATAGCAACAGTGTCACATGCACAAGACCCATGGAAACTCAAGCAAACAAAAACCCAGTGCAGAACTGTGGAAATGTACAGAAGGCCCCAATCTTAGTCAAAGAATTATTGGCAGCTGATTCCTGCTGGGTGAGAATGAGCTGATTTTCTTAAAGGGAGGGACTCTAGATAGACTGACTAGATCTCAGTGGATGAACTTGCACTGAGGGACATCTGGGGACACTAATTTGACATGATCGTCCTTAACACAAATGACAGAATGTATGAATTCCATTGGGGGGATTATGGGAGGAGGCCAATGGGGAAGGGGGTATAGAGATGATTAATATGTTCTGTATGAAATTCACAAAAATTCAATAAAAAATTAAAAACTAATAATAAAAATAAAAATTTTTTAAAAGACAGAAAAAAAGAGGAAAAGGGAAAGTGAACTGAGAACTAGCATTCATCTCTCTCTGCTTCCTGACTGAATACAGCACGACCAGCTGCCTCCTGCTCCTGCTCCCACAGCTCCATCCACTTTTGTTTCCACACATCCATACCACGACAAGACTGTACCTCCAAACTGGGAGCCAAGTAAGTCCTTCCTACATTAGTCGGGGTTCTCTAAAGAGGCAGAACTGATGAAATGAATATATATATGGATTTATTAGATTGGCTTACAGGATAAAGTCTAAGTAGTCCAACAACGTCTGCACTACAGTGGAGAGGCAGAGAATCCAGTAGTTGCTCAGTTCATGAGGCTGGATGTGTCAGTAGTCCCAATCTGGCACTGAAGGCTTGATAGGTTCTGGGAGATCTGCTAGTCTTCAGTCTATGTTGGAATGTGAAGAAGTAAGTCACAGAGGCAAGACGAACTCACCAATGGGAGAGAAGACAAGGAGCAACAAAGCAAGAACTCCTTCCAGCCATGGCCTTTTATTCCAGGTGCCATCGGAAGGTAACGCCCACATTTAGGGTGGATCTTCCAGCTTTAAATGACCCAACCAAGAAGGAGTCTCTCATTCTAGCTATTCCCAGACCCAGTCAAACTGACACCCAGGATTAGCCAGCACACTTATGTTGCTTTCCTCAGATATTTTGATACAGGGATAAGAAAAAACTACTCCATGCAGTCTGTGCTCTTAGCATCTGGCTCCCATCACTGAACTTGCCATTTGAGGACATCATCCTAACACTTTCTGCAGGAACAGTTTATTCTCTATGTTGTGTAGACACAGTACAGTCTATTTAACCATGCTATTGCTGCTGTGCATTTGTTATTTCCAGTTCCTGGCTATGATGAATGGCATTGTTATAAACATTTTAATACAAATCTCATGGTGACATAAGCACTTGTTTTTCCTGAGTAAATACTCAGGGGTAGAATACCACGGTCATAGGAAGAGTATTTTATCCTTAATAGATATTAGCAAACTATTTCAGAAAGCTGTCACATATAAAGTATGATACCATTTTTGTAAAGCTTAAACACCGGCAAATCAAATCTCTGGGATTAGAAGTCAAGATAGTCAGGGCTGGAGAGTTGGCTCAGCAGTTAAGAGCACTGACTGCTCTTGCAGAGGACCTGGGTTCGATTCCCAGCACCCACATGGTGGCTACGAACCAACCTTAACTCCACTTCCAGGGAAATCCAAAGCCCTCTTTGGACTTTTTTGCATATATGTGAGTGCACGACACAGGTGCACTCACATACATGTAGGCAATGCACTCATATACATAAAATAAAAATAATAAATAAAATATTTTTTTTAAAAAAAGAAGTCAAGATAGTCACTGGGAACTCCGGTGCCCTGACATTTCTGTTTCCTGATCTGATTGCCCAGATATGCTGACTTTTGAAAAAGCCATTATGCTAACACTCTTATGATGTACATGTTACATTTCAATTACAAGTTTATTTCAGACCTGGGGGTGGGCAACTAGCTCCTGTGAGCACTCTCCAATACCCCCTTGGAGGAGTATGAGAGCAAATGAGGACTCCCAAGTCACATGCCCGCCCCCCAGCAGCCACCTTTCAGGATGTGGTTGTCCTCTCTCCCTGTCTCCCCAAGACAGGCCCCATACATCTTGCTGCTCTTGGTTTGCTGACCTCTCATTTAGAGCAGGTTTTCTACTTTCCAACCTCAACAAAGTAAAAAAACAAATGTAGCCTGTCGTGTGCCAAGCACTATGCTGGTCCTTATTGGTGAGCAGCCCATCATCAGAGCCTTGAGGGACAAAATGAAACACTGGTCATTTAAGCAGTGTGAGAAAAGCCTTGTGTGGTTTCCACTCACTCAGACGGAGTCTGCGAACAAACCCACTAGTATCTAATATTTTACTCTATATTTTTGCTCCAAGGTTTTGGTTGCAAGAAGGAAACTGACTCCAGTGGACGGAACTCTAGGATGGAAGTTTATTGGGAGGAATTGTTTGACAGGCTCCCAAGGAGAGCATGGCAGACAGAGACAAAACAAAAAGGGATCTAAGGAGGTTTGAAGTTCAAGATCATCCATTCTCAGCTACATAGTGAGTTTGAGGCCAGCCTGGGCTACATGAGATCTTGCGTCAAAAAACTAAAATAAAAAAGGAAGGAAAGAGGGAGGAAGGGAGGAAAGAAGGAAGGAAAAAGGAAGAAAGGGGCCTAGAGTAAGTGAAAGCGGAGAGTCAGCTACACAGTCGCCCATCTTCCAGTCCATTCCCAGCCTCCTAGCCTCTCTGCTAACCCCACTACCCTCCAGGCGCTCAACTTCGTCCCTCTGCTCCTCCTATCACTTGCTACCAGGCTGCAGCAGGAGTCAGCAACCCACTGTTGACCTGGCTTCCCCCATCCCTGATTTCCCAGGAGCACTTCATTCCTTCCTGGTGATAATTGTTCTAACAGACCATGCAGCATGGGTGGCCATAAGTGTGCAGTTGCTTACTTGGCTGTGGGGAAGTATGCCCCCAGAGCAGGACCAAGGATGATGGTAACATCCCTGTTTGCTCCTCACTTTTTGTTTGTTTGGTGTTGGTTTTTTGTTTGTTTTGTTTTCATTTTTTAATTTTTATTTATTATTTTTATTTTATGTATATGACTGTTACCTGCATGTGTGTGCACCCATTCGAGCAGTGCCCACAGAGGTCAGAAGGCTTTAGATTCCCTGGAACTGGAGTTACAGATGGTTGTGAGCCACCATGTGGATGCTGGCTCATGTGGAACCAAACCCGGGTCCTCTGCAAGAGCAGCTAGTGCTCTTAACCACTGAGGCATCTCTCCAGCCCCCTAATACAGAATGTCTTGGCAGGTCAGTGAGGACCCAAATGTTCTTCCAGTCTAGCCAGAAAGTCCAAAGTGCCTTTGAGGAAAAAGAGGCAAAGGGGCAGTGCCTCTTCAGAAAAGAAATGGAGAGGGAAGAGACAGAGGACAGGGATTCAAAGAGAAGTGAGTCACATGGCCGACTCGGTCCCAGAGCCTCAGCATACTCCTAGGTAGATTGGGCTTCACTCCACGCTAGCCACCCATTTTTCTTGGGAGCAAGACGCTTAGAAGACAGGTCACAGAACATCAGATGTCACTGTGCTGCTTGTACAGAGGTGACAGAACCTCTTTCACAGTATCTGAGTCATCAGAGAGTAGCAACCATCTCCTCTTGAAGGCAGGTTGATCAGCTCAGAGTTGTGGCACAGGTGAGGTCCCATGTGTGCCTGCATCAGGAGCAAGGAGCTTCCCACAAAGAAAACCCTGGTCACAGAAGGCCTGCACTGACCCATGGTCCTAGGTAGGGTCATCTGCAGAAGGGGATTACACTATGGGAAGGGAAACAGGCTTTCACTCCTGCCTATGACAGGTAGGCTCCAACTTGAGGAAGAAAAACCTCAAAACAAAGGTAGAGGAACCAGAAAATGTGTCTTGATAAAATCTCCTTGTATCATTAAATCACCCACCCAGCAAACACATAGCTACTCTGAGCCTCAATAAGAATATGGCTCTCCCTATCCCCCTGGGGAATCTGGGCTCCCCGTACTCCTCCCCTAACCTCCCCTGGTCCCAGCACTGTCCTGTGAATAGAAATAGCGTCTAGATGCCAGCTGGACACTGTTACAACCACATGTCTGCAAATGTTGAACAGATACCTGTGTGGTGTCCTTCTGAGTGGACATCTCCATTGAATTCTTATTCATATTCAGCCTATAAGAACGCCTCTTTCTGCATGGCAAGCATGGACTCAGTGAGGATTACTCCCTACCAACTGTTCCACCCTCCTGCTCCCCCCTCCAGGGCGTTGGCCCAGGTTGCCCACTATACATAGCAGGGAAGCCTTGCACAGCATGGGATACCTGCTTGTTTTCCTCCCCAGCCCTTTCTTCAGCACAGGTTAGAGACAAGTGAAGGAGAGCTACATGTAGCAAGATAATTGCCGAGCCTCTGGAGGGGACTCCCAACTTTGGAAGGGGCAGAGTAGGAAGTTGGAGGTCTTGGGAGAGAATTTCTTCCAAAGAATTTGGGGACATTGGAAGGACTAGGGTGAATAGAATGAAGTAGCTCAGGCCCCCATCCAGCCCAATCCAGCCCAAACTTACTTCCAGGCATGCCAGGCTCCCAGGCCCAGCAACAGGAACAGGAAGGCTGCCAGAAATCCCAGGACCCAGAGCAGCCACTGGAACAGTTGCAACTGATGCAGGGCTAGAACATAAGGGAAATGCTGAGGAGACTTCAGGGGCTCCAGGCCCCCAGCACTCTCAAGGTAACCCAACTAATATGGAACTGATTTTATTTCATCTCCAAAGCCCAATGCAAGATTTGGGTTAGACAGACAAGTTGTATAGTGGCAGAAGAGAGTGGGGAAGGTAGCCTTAGGACCTAAGAACAGGGTTGGCCAAGGAGATGGAAATCCTTTCCTCACCTCTGGTCCCAAAGTAAGCAGAAGCAGAGGCAGAGCCCAGGGCATTTGAGGCAGAACACACGTATTCCCCCTGGTTGCTGGGTTGGAGCTCCTCCATGTCCACTCTTAGGGCATTGGGGGAAGCAGAGACGTGAATGTGGGGCTCGATGGGAGCACCCTTGAGCTGGCTGGAGGCCACCAGTTGACTGCCCAGGTGGAGGGTGAGGCTGGCCAGCGGCTCACTGTCCACTCGACAGTCCAGGATGCCCTGGAGGCCACCCTCAGGCTCCACAAACACTGTTATGATGGGTGTCTTGGGAGGGTCTGTGGAGAGGAAGAGTGTGATAACCACAGAAATTGACTTCAAATCCCTCCCTCCACGTGACTTTGCTGCAGTTCCATGAAGTAATGGGGCCTCTTTCCACACTCCTGAACCAAAAGTGACACTGCGAGTTTGGGGACGTGGCTCAGTCAGCAAGGTGCTAGCTGCACAAACACAAGGATCTGAGTTCAATCCCCAGCACTCATGCAAAAAGCCAGGTATGGTGGCACATGCCTCTAATCTTAGCACTGGGGAGGCAGAGACAGGATGATCCCTGGTGCTTGGTGGAGCTAATCTTGCTGAATTGGTGAGCTCCAGATTCAGTGAGAGATCCTCTCTCAAAAGATGGGGTGGAAAGTGATAAAGAAACACATTGACCTCTGGCCTCCACATGCACATGCACAAAAATATGCATGCATGCACAGTTATACACCACACACACACACACACACACACACACACACACACACACACACTTAAAAACAACAAAAGTGGCATTGTGGAGCTTTAGAGTTAGACCTCAAGATGTCTTGCAGCTTCTCTTCTGCTTCCTAAAACACAACCATGTTAGAAGCCCAGGCCAGTATGGTGGGCACAGTTGGTCCAACTGCAGCCAGCAGATGAGGCCACATTAGACTGGCCAGTGTCAGTGGAGTCACTGGTCAATTACAGCCACAACTGCAAAACTGCCCAGCTGAGACCTGCCCAAATTTCTAATCCACAGAATTGTGAGGTCACTTGTTATCTAGAAGTAGCTGATTGATACAGCATGTGAGCCAACAAAGAATAGAGAAGACCAAAGCCAATGATGGCCTACTGTGTGCCAGGCACTCGGGATGCTTTATCTCCTGTACTCTTCCCAAGAGAAGGGGACTAATATAGCCTCCATTTCAAAGATGGGGAATTAAGGTATAAATAAACATACAAGCAGCTGCTGGGAGTGCTGGAATTCTAATGGGTCCCATGCCTGTGAAGTCCTTGCTGTGCAGAGGGAAAGGTAAACATATGATATGTGGGGAGACAGGGCAGAGGTAGGGTTACACTCACAGAGAACACGGAGCATGACGGGAGCAGAGGTAGTGATCCCAACAGGGAGCTCAGCCCTGCAGTGGTACAGCCCAGCCTGGGCCCGGGCCACATGGGTAAAAGAGAGTGTGGGCACTGACTCAGCACGTAGTGGCCGACTATTCCAGAACCATATAAAAGTAAAGTTGTCCGTGGACTTGGAGCCAACGGGGAGGTGGCAGCTTAGGTTCAGGGCTGCACCCTCTGGCACTTCCAGGCCTGGTTCAGCTACCACACGCACACCTGCAGTCCAAGGATGTGTAAATTGTCAGAGAACTGTGCACTGTAGGGAAGTCTCAGTCTGTGTTGGGGTCCAAACCCTCCAAGGTTGGACTATGTCTCTCCTTAGACTGATTGTAAGAACGGTATGAATTGAGTTGTACAGAGACTCCCATGACAGGGTTGTGACTCCTGCATCAGAGCAGGTCCTCTGATACGTAATGTTACATCTTGCCCTTAGACTGGGCTTCCCAAGGGTAAGGCTGTGTCTTGCTCCCACCTCAGGCTTCCCTAGTGCAGGATTCTGTGAGGTTAGGATATGTCTCCTCCCACTCCCTCCCCTAGGGGTACTGCAACTCCTCCTCACACCCTGTCAGAGAATCTCCCGTGGTGGAGCTGTATCATCCTCAAAGACTGGTCTACCCCTCTACTGGGAGCCATGCCTCCTGCAGACTGGGCTACTCTGGGCAGGGCTGGTCACACTCCTTCAGGCCAGCAGCCCCTCCCATGGACTCCAGCCCCACAGCACAGGAACCCCAGAACCTAGCCCCCTCCTCACCCCTGTTCTACTCACCATCCTCCCTCCACAGCTGCTGAGTGGTACTGACTGAGCCCAATGCATTATGGGCTGTGCAAACATAGGCATCACCATCACCTGTAGTCATATCTTGTACCTGCAGCCGAAGGGCATTGCGGGCTACCTGGACATGGCCCATCCCCGAGGTAGAGCGGTGAAGCCCATGGCTGGTGGCTAGCACCTTGCCATTGTGGGACAGTGCCAGCTCAGCGGGTGGCTCACTGTCCACGGTGCACTGTACCACAATCATGAGCCTGGTCCTTGAATCCCGGAAAGAGGATAGAACAGCATCCCGAGGGGCATCTGGAGGTGGTGTGGGACACAGATAGGGGGCTTTGCTGAGGCATCCTGAACTGCCCTTGCCCAACTGCCTGATGCTGGTGAGGCTGAAACTTCAGAACAAATGTCCCCTTCCTAAAACTTACAACTTCTCAGGAATCTGTGGGCAGAGCCCTTCAGACAGGACTCCGAGGGCTAGACAGTCTCTTTCTTCAGCACCTATGCCCCCCTCCCCCAAATGCCCATTCCTAGACCCTCTGTTGTCTCATACCCACCATAATCAGGGCCTTTCAGAAGCACCCTCCGCCACCCTCACCCTGGGAAGCCCCAGCTAAGGAGCTCTTGCTCACAAAGGATTTGCAGGGTGGCAGGCTGGGAGCTGCGTGTGCCCTGAGCATCATGAACTTGGCAAGAGTAGGCACCGGCATGAGCCTGTGTGGCCACCAGGAACTGGAGTGAGGCAGCTGGCCCTTCCTGCATCCAATGGCCATTGTGGTACCAGGCATAGAGGGCAGGTGGAAGGACGGCAGGGTCCTTGCAGGTCACTGTGACAGGAGACCCCTCGGGTACAGTAGCTGAGGGAGCCACCGTCACCCGTACACCTGAACCAAAGGCAGCAGGGTCAGCTGGGTCCGGCCAGATGTAAAAGTTGATTCCCTCCCCCTGTGACCTTGGTCTGACCCTGCTTCACCTTCCAAGTGAAGTTCCAGGGATGTGTTAGCCTGGCCCAGTGCGCTGTGGGCAAAGCAACTGTAGAGCCCCTCATCACTGGGCTTTGGGTCTCGCAGCTTCAGGAGCAGGGTGTTAGGGACAGAGGCTGCAGTTGAGGAGGCTAGGAGGCGGCCAGCATGGCTGAGAGCCAGCTGGGCAGGTGGGCGACTGTCCACAGTGCACAGTACTATGGCCAGCTGCCTGTCCTGACTCTCCAAGAGGTAAGTCAGCCTCAGGCTGCGCGGAGCATCTGCAGAGATCCAGGAGGTATACATGGAGCTCAGAGGCAGCCTTGAGAAGGCCAGTTTGCAAGTGGCAGAAAGGTTCCCCATTGCCCAGTCTAGGGTTCTTCTCCTTTGCCCAGAAAAGACCTGTCCTCATTTTCCCCAGCTCTTGTCCAGTGTCTCACTGCGGTTAGCTTTGAGTCCTTGGGCTACATACCTGAGGGGTCTGCAATACCATGACTCCTGGGCCCCGTCACCCCTCTCACCACCACCCACACCCAGCCAGACTCACAGAGGACATCCAGGGTGACAGGTCTGGAGAGACAGGGTTCTTGGCCAGGGAATCCCACACCACAGCGGTAGGAGGTAGCATCCATGACTGTGACATTGGGCAGGGAGATGGAACGGGCACCAAGGAGCTGCTGCCCACCCTGGTACCATGTGTAGCTGAGTGAGGCTAAGTGGGTGCTCCACACCAGGCAAGTCAGGTTCACCTGCTGTCCCTCCTGAACAGTGGCATTGGGCCATATCTGCACACTCACAGCTGGGGACAGAGAGAAGCCACCAGTGAGGATCTTGAAGCTGGTATAGAGCAAGTCATTGTTTCTATGCAGGCCAGTCAGCTCTGCTGCCGAGGAGCTCCTTTGGCTCTGAGAACCCCAGGAAGCCCCCTGTCAAGGTGGTTGAGACTAGGGGTCAGGGTCCTGTAGAGAGTTCTGCAGAGTCCTAGACAGCCCTCAGCTCCTCCCTAACGAATGGGATGAAAAGGTTTCCCTGTGTGGCTATAGCTTCTCTGTGAGGTGCCTTTCCTGATTAAGTTTATGCACTGGGCACCCAGTGCTTAAACAAGACTCTTTCATGTAACCCAAGTCCAGAGACCACATCCCTAACTAGGCTGCATTTGTGGCTTGTCCTTAGTTCTTAGGATTGTAGAGCCTTCTGCCTTTTTTCCCTCTCTTCCAGGAGTTAAACCCACCCAAACTGACCTTGGGCATCGAAGTCAGCTTTGGCAGAGGCCTGGCCCAGGGTGTTGGTGGCCTCACAAGTATAGACACCATCATCCTCCAGCTCTGTGTTGTGGATCTCCAGGCGCAGTGTATTGGGAGTCACAGTCACATGCAGCCGGGGATTGCTGCTTGCCAGTTCCTCCACATTTTGTAGGGTAGAGGCCACAAGGCGGTCCTGGTGAAATAGCTGCAGCTGGGCTGGAGGATCACTGTGCACACTGCACACCAGGAGGCCTAGTCGCCCAGGGCCTGTGTCCAGCAAGGTGGTGAGTGCGGCCTGGCGTGGGGTGTCTACACCAGGTGAGGAATAGTCAGGACATGGCCAGGGGCAGGTCCCTCATCCAGGGCTCTGTTGTAGAACACCTCCCCTTCCCCACAGGAATGAGAAACACCCTTACAGGACACATGGAGGCTGACAGGGGCAGCCAGGCTGGCAGTGGCTGTGGCTGGAGCCTGTGCTTGGCAATGGTAGGCACCAGCTTGCCTCAGACTTATGGCTGCAATGTGGAATGTGGCTGAGGTTGACTCCTGGAGTGGCTGGCCATCCTTATACCAGCGGTATGAGGTCCCTTCAGGGACCCCAGTGGGCAGCTGGCAACTCAAGACCACAGCCTGGCCCTCCTGGAGCTCTGGTGATGGTGAAACCTGGACCCAGGCTCCTGCAAGGAGAAACAAGGTAGATGAGGGTTTGCCACCATTCCTCCCAAAGTTTGCTGCTGTTTGTGTCTCCAGAAGAGTACAAAGGCCCAATCCTATGTCCAGGAGCACAGCTTCCTCCAGGGCCCCCCTCAGGTCAATGTCTCTGCCTCTCATGTTCCCACTCTGCTCCTAGCCTGAACCCACTTTGTTCTGGCCCATGTTGCTTACCACCTGGAGTTTAGGTTTCTGTTTTTTGTTTTTTTTATTTTAATTTTATGTGTATGAGTGTTTTGCTTGCATATATATAAATGCACCCTTGTCATGCAATGTCTGTGGGGGCCAGATGAGGGTGTTGAATCCTCTGGAAGTGGAGTTAAGGTTAAGGACAGTTGTTAGCCGCCATGTGGGTGCTGGGAACCAAATGCATATCCTCTACAAGAGCCACCAGTGCCCTTAACCACTGAGCAATCTCTCCAGCCCCAAGATTTTTGTGTTTTGGGACAGTCTCACTATGAAGCCCAGGCTAACTTTGAACTCCCTTTCCCCTTACCTCTGCTTCCTGAATGCTTGGCTTACAGGCATTTGCCACCATGGATAGCTTACTTTGGGAGAATTTTTTTAAATTTGTTTTTATTGAATTTTTGTGTATTTTATACAGAATATCTCAAACAATGTTAATCATCTTTATAATCCTGTCCCCACTGGCACACTCTCATAGCCCCCCCGCCCCCCACTGGAACCCATATACTCTGTCATTTGTGTTAAGGCCCAATGTGTCAAGTCTGTGTCCCCAGACTATTACCAGTGAAAGTCCATCCACCGAGGTCTAGTCAGCCTATCTAGACTCTTGTTTTAGGAAGATCATCTCTTCCTCACCTAGCAGTAATCAATGTTTTTACAGCTAATATTGGGGTATACTATTCATTTGCCCAGTTCTGTGAAGGGTTTTTGTCTGCCTGAGTTTGCATGGAACTTGTGTATGCTGACACCATTGCCATAGAATCATACGAGGAGGTTCCCAGGAGCTCGTAGGACTGTTTCCATATGGTCTTCCCCCTCTTCCCTGCCTCTTATGATCTTTCCACTCCCTCTTCCGCAATGGTGCTTTGGGAGAATTTTTATAGAGAATATATATGAATATAAAAGGAAGGAAGAAGGAAGGAGGAAGGAAGGAAGGAAGGAAGGGAGGGAGGGAGGGAGGGAGGGAGGGGGAACAGGCTCTAACCCAGTAAGCCACCTTGCACAGTTGTCAGAACCTCCTAATGGCTGCTGCAGTAACTACATGTGGAAAATGGTATAGGCTGGCTACAAACTGTGCCCTAACCAAAGCTTCTGGACAAAATTTATAGCACACAATGCAAAGTCCAACCAGAGCACCCCAAGTCTCAGGGTCCACTCTATTGTTGGAAGACCAGCACTTACCTCGGACCTGGAAGAAGAGTGAGGTGTTGGCTGATCCAAGAACATTTGTGGCCTCACAGCGATAGCTTCCAGAGTCCTCAAGGCCCAGTTCTCGGATCTCTAGCTGCAGGGAGTTGGCTGTGACCTTGGCCTGGATTCTGTCATGGGATGGGCGATGGGGTTCCAGGCTGGTGGCCAGGAGGTGCTCCCCATGGAATAGGGACAGGCGAGCCAGGGGACGACTGTCCACAGTGCAGATAAACACAGCCATGTGACCCTGGGCCACATCCAGGAGGGCTGACAGCTTTGGAGGGTCTGGGGCATCTGCACAAACCAGAATGGGGTGGAATACTCAAGCTGCTCTCACTCAACTCACTATAGTCTACCTGACACACTGTATCTTCTCCTCTTGTACACATTCCATAGGCCCATCTGCCATGCCAGACTGGTATTTGCCTCCCCAGGCCCCCAGCTCCAACCCTGTGACCCCGGGTCCCTCCACCCTCCAGGCTCCTCTGTATTCCAGCCCCACCCGTGCTCCAAGCCCCTCCACCCTCCAGACCTGTCTGTTCCCCCAGGTCCTGCTGCCCTGAAGGCTGTACTGTCCCTGTCTGTCACTCACATAGCACACTCAGGACCACAGGAGCTGAGAGCTGGGTCCCAGCCTCACTGAGGAGGCGGCAGGCATAGAGGGCAGCATCAGTCCTGGCCACAGGTTGCAGTCTTACAGTCTCCAATGGGCCTTGAGTCCACAGCACTCCATTCCGGAACCAGGAGAAGTTGGCAGAGCCAGTAGCTTCCCGGCTCACGTTGCAAGTTAGGATGGCCTCTGTGCCCTCGTGCAACATGTTTGACGGTGTGATGACCAGGACAGTGGCTGGAGAGGAGGCAGCAGGAGCTGACTGGAGACAAGCCTCTCTCTAACTACCCCAGATCCGCCCTGGCCCAGGCTCCAGCCTCCAGCCTTGGGCAGGGAAGGCCCCTGGGGTACCCCACAACAGAGAGAAAAGCAAAGAAGTTCTCAGGACGCAGCTGCAGAGAGGGACATGGAGAGGGATAGAAGGCAAGGTGGCCCCCACTGTGTTTTCTTTTAGAGATGAGCCTCAAAGTCCCCCAGGTTGTTCCCTCTCCCTCAATTTGGGGGGAGGGAGGCAGTGAGGCTCCCTCTGCCTCCTCCCAATGCTGACATTGGTGCCTCCCCCCAAGTCAGTTTGCTCAAAGTAAGGGTAGTCTGAACTCAGACTGCAGCCCCCATCCACCCCTCCCTCCACTCCTCACCCTTAGCATTAAATATGGCTGAGGCAGAGGAGTTGCCCAGTGCATTGCTGGCCTCACACTGGTACATGCCCTCGTCCTCCAGCACTGGATTCTGGATCTCCACACGAAGCAGGTTGGAGGCTTTGCTGACCTTAGTGCGCTGGGAGCAACTCCCACAGGTGCTACAGCCATCCCTTGCTGGCACAGAAGTAGCCACAACGTGGCCCTTGTGAAGCAGCCGTAGCTGTGCTGGGGGATCACTGTCTACTTGGCACAAGAGGAGGCCTCGCCATCCAGCCCCCACTCCAGAGGCATCCAGCCGGGCAGTGAATGTGGGCTGGCGTGGGGCATCTGTGGGGAGGAAGAGCATGGACACTCATCTCATGGTCACTGCCAAGGCCTCAGGCTAGTCCAGCCTAGCTAGACTCCGAGACACATTGAGCAGCCACAAAAAGCTGTGTGTAGGTTGGGCACAGCATAAAGACAGCCAGGTGGTATTCACTCATGCTCCTCATGCAAAGTTGTGCCCTGGTGCTGAGCTGAGTCCTCTGAGGAGAGGTGTTTTCCAGCTGGGACCAATGTGTCATCAGACTGTCAGCCATCTTGCATGCCTTTTCTGCCCCTAAAGCAAAGAACCCTCCCAGAAGTCCCTGAGAGTCCCCCTCTGCATCCACCCTTGTCACCAAGCCTTGCCTCAAAGTTCATCCCTCCTGTTTTCCAACCCAGCTCCTGCCATACTAGATAATACCTAAAATGGACTCTTTTTTTTTTCATTTTGATGGTTAATATTATCAATTTGACAGCATCTAGAATCATCTAGCACACAAATCTGCATGTCTGCGTGGGAATTTCTAGATTACATTAATTGAGGTGGGAAGATCCTCCCTAAATGTGAGTGGCACCATTCCATGGGCTAAGGTCTCATACTAACAAAAAGGCGAGAGTGAACTGAGCACCAGAGTTCATCTTTCTGCTTCCTGACTGCAGTGTGGCCAGCTGCCCCCCAGTCCTATCACCTTAATGGATTGCACCCTCAAGTTGTGAGCTAAAACAGACCTTTCCTTCCTTATGTGGTTTTTATCACAGCAACAAGAAAAGTAAGCATTCCTAAAGACTGAACCTAGGGCCTTGCACATGCTAGGTAAGTGCTATAAAATGGTCCCTCTCAGCCATGCTTTTAATCCCAGCACTTGGGAGGCAGAGGCAGATCTCTGAGAGATAGCGGTCAGCCTGGACTACATAGTGAGTTCTAGGCCAGCTAGGGCTGCAGGAAGACTTTGTCAAAGAAAAAAAAAGTCCTTTTCTAGAGATTTCTCAAAACACATGGCCAAAAGAGAGTCGGCAATCAAGACCCCCACGTGCTACCACTCAAGCACCAGAAAACCCCTGACCATACCTGGAGAGGCCTTCTGGGTGTAATGTGGCCCCTGTATCACTCAGCTCCTTGGGCTAACATGGAGCAACACCCTTGAGGCAGTCAGCTTGTGGGGTATGTGCACACAGGTAGGAGTATGGCATCTGGGAGGCACCTGGCAGGACAAGCTGGGGTCTGGAGCCAGGGAACAGCTAGCAACAAAGACTGGGACTGGAGGGCAGGATGCAGGGAGTCCTAAAAGAGACCCTGCTTCATTCCCCCACCTTCTACCCTAAGTGGAGAGGTCTGTGGTAGCCAGGCCTATGATCATCCTCTGATGTGGATCCTGGGGCAGGAAAGGGTCAGGAGGATAAGGAGGAAATTGAGTGCCTGGTGGTCCCAATGGGTTGACTTCCCACAGTGGTACTCACAGAGTACAGTGAGGATGGCAGGCAGGGAGGGGCCACTGGTGCTGGAGCCTGCCTGTGCTCTGCAGTAGTATGAGCCTGCGTCCGTGCTGGAGGCCGCAGGAAGCAGGAGGCTGCTGCTAGATCCATCAAGAAGCAGACCACCATTCAGGTACCAGAAGAAATGAATGTCAGGTGCTGGGGTCAGGCCACTCCTGCAGCTCAGAGTCACTGCTTGCCCTTCTACAACCTTGGCTGAAGGGCTGATGAGGAGTCGGGCCACTGGAAGAGGGGCAGAGAGTAGGCCTGGGGCACCTGTGAGGATCCTGACCCATTCCTGCTACAGGAGCTCTCTAGCTTTCTCCTCTCCCCACATGCCTATCTGAGGTTTGTGGTATACGAAAAGAATTTGGCCTTGAATGCCAATTCAGATACTCTATAGCCCAGGTATCACAGAGGCAGCCTTGTGTCAAAACCTGGCTTGAGGGTTGGGGATATAACTCAGCTGGTAGAGTGCTTGCCTTGAATGTATAATGCCTAAGGTTTAATCCCCAGCACTGCATAAACCAGGCATGGTGAGGGAAAAAAACAGACAGAAAACCTAGCTTGATTGAGTAGCCTTGGAAGGAAGAGAGAATTTCACCAATAGAGGAAATACCCTATCGCTCTATCTTGCCTCCCACATCTAACACCTAGCGAAGAGCCTGCCCCCAAAAGCTTAAGAAATAAAAAATAAAGGAAGTTCAGGGTGCAGAAAAATCATGTGATCGACGAAATTTCCCTTTTTGCCTTCTCTTCCAAGAATCTCTATGGTTGGAGTGACCTGGGGGTCTTCTGTGTGACCTAGACAGACCCTCAAGACTCTGGAAAGAAGAGGCCTCCTCCTTGAAGTCCCCCTACCATTCCCCCATAGGCCATGCCCTTATTACCACGGGCAGAGAAGTGAAGGTTGGAGGTTGCATTTCCAAGGAAGTTGGTGGCTGAGCAAGTGTACTCTCCACTGTCAGTTGGTTGCAAGTCACGGATCTCTAGGCGCAGGGAGTTGGGAGTGGAGAAAACTCTGAAGCGAGGGCTGGAGTCGTTCTTCTCAGAGCTGGAGGCTAGTGTGAGGCCCCCATGGGATAGCACCAATGTGGCCAGGGGCTCACTGATCACAGAGCAGTGGAGGATGCCCACGAGCCCAGCCTGTGTCTCCAGGAAGGCAGTCAGGTCCGGGAGGAGGGGTGGGTCTGTGTGAGGATCAGAAGTGGCCTATCATCCTTAGACAGGGCATTTCCTGGATCCCCTGTAAATTAGCCTGTGCATCCCTTTGCCCCAGAGTGCCCTGGAACAGGGTGAGTCCAGATGCCCCTAAGCACCTGCTGAGTACACTTTACCCCCTGGATTGGCAAACCTTTCTGTTAGCCTAGTCATTCCTCATAGCCACACTGTAAGTGGAGATCAGGGCCCTGAATTAGGGTCTCACTTTGTAGCCCAGGCTGCTCCCAAACTGGTGATCCTCCTGCCTCAGCCTCCCAAGTGCTGGGATTACAGGTATGCCCACCATACCTGGATAAGACATCATTTTAAAGATGAATAAACTGGAAGAGTCCAGGTAGAGGGCAGCACTTTTGCCAAGTGATTAAAGGGACCATTGGCAGCATGGGACAAACCAACACCAAATGCCTCCTAATGAGATGCTCTGAGGCAGGCACGGTATCATACCTGCTGCCTTCCAATATAAGAACATCATCTCAGGCAAATGCAAACTGAGGGGCAGCTGCTGAGGAAAGACAGGGAAGGACTGAGGACTGTCCCAGAGATATAGACAAGGTGATGCATGCCTGTAAGCCCAATACTCAGGAGGCAGAAGCAGGAGGATTATCACAGTGGCTAGCCTGGGCTATATAGGGAGTTCTAAGCTAGCCAGAGCTACTTATTGAGGTCCTCTCTGAAAAGAAGCAAACAAAAAGATGATATTTTGGAGTTAATTGCTAAAATTTGTATATGGACTATGAATTATTAATAGTTTGGAATTAATACCACATTTCCTGGTGTGATCTTTGTGTGGGGCTGTGTATGGGCTGATCTTGCAAAATGCACACTGACAAGGCAAGAAATAAAAAGCCATCACACTTGCAACACCAGGAACGTAAATATAATCTTCAGCTTCTGATGGTTCCATTTAGGATTTCTGCCTTTACCAAAGTGTGAAATTCATATACAATCAGTCAGTAGAAACTGTACTTTGATCTTTACCTAGGTTAGCGAGTTACAGTATGAACCTCTCTCATGCTGCTGGGTAGTCAGCAAGCTACCAGTCCTCCAGTGTGCTGCATTGCCCAGTGGGTTGTGGATACAGGCATTCAATGAACGCATGAGCTATTTGGCACTTAATTATGAAATTGCCATATGTTACCTGCCTTGGCCCAAAGGTAGGCTAATGTGTGAGTGTGCTAAGCACGCATGTTTAGGGTGAACTTAGCTAAGCTACTGTGGACATTAGGATTACTGGATACATTAGGACTACTGGATACTTTTCAACTTTGATTTTTTTCTTTTTTGACAAGGTCTCACTGTCAAAACTGGCTGACATAGAACTCAATATGTAGACTAGACTGGTCTCAAACTCACAGAGATTCACCTGCCTCTGCTTCCTGAGAGCTGGAATTAAAAGTGTGCCAAAAGTTTACTGGGGTGCAGTACCATTGCAAGTCGCAACACATTTGTAGGAAGGAATAAAAGTTATAAATGTACATGTATACAGATGTATATGTATACATACGTGTTGACATACAGTAAGGATGTATACATATATGCACATGTGTCTGAGTGTGCACTTGTGTGCATATATGTGTATATCCCCATGTGAACGTGGAGAGAAAGGATAAAGCAAATGAACCAAGATGTTCATAAGCAAAGAACTAGCCTATAGCTATATGATAATCCCTTGTACTATTCCTACAACTTTTCATAAGTTTGATTTCCAAATAAAACATTTCTAAAAGTAGGAGGAAACTGAGGCAGGGACCAGCCTTGTGCAGGAGAGCAGAACTGGGCACACATTCAGCTCCACCTGGCTACACAGCCCATATCTAGGTCAAGAGACCTTGAAGCCCCAACCTTCCTGCAGGGACTCCACCCTTGTGGCCCTGCTCTGGCAATGTCCCCTGTCCCCCAGAAAGGCTACTTACGTCTGACCACCACACTGACTGGGCCAGAGCGCTCACTGCCCTGGGTGTTCTGCACCTCACAGAAATAAAAGCCGGTGTCAGCCCTTGTGGCCATAGGCAGGTACAAGGTGGGGGTGTGGACATCCTCCAGCAGGATGTGGTTCTTGTACCAGCTGTAACGGAGCTCCCTGGGTGCCTCTTTGGGAGTGTTGCAGGTCAGTGTCACTGTCTGGTTCTCCAGGATGGGGCCTGCTGGGCTCACCTTGACCTCAGCCACTACAAGGATAGCATAGGACACACCCTCAGAGTGTGACAGTCAGACAGCTTCTTTCTCTACTGATTGCTTTGCACTCTACCCCCTGAGCAGGAGTCTCCTAGAGGCAGTGTTACTTCTCTTTGTGCCATTTCCCAGAGTCCTCCCAATATCCCTGCAAGGAGGTCCTGTCATGAGTCTGTGCCAACCTCTGGTACCTCCATGGCCTAGCTCCCCTCAGCCCTCTGGCTAGATCTAGCCTCATCCAGAACTCACTAAAAACATGGAGGCTGACTGGGGGTGACGCCAGAGAGCCCACACTATTCTTTGCTTGGCAGGTGTAGACCCCAGAGTCATTCCAAGTTGCCTGGGACAGCTGCAGCACACGGCCAGCAGCTTTGAGGTGTACCCCATCCTTGATCCAGTGCACGGAACTGACGGCAGGGTAGCTGCTGTTCACTTGGCAGATGAGCGTGACCAGCTCGCCAGGGAGAATGTTCTGTCCTGAAGGGCTGAGGAGGAGTTCCACACCCTTGGGGGCATCTACAAAGGATGATAGGATGTCATATAAGATGCATGAGAATGACAGGGTGTGGCACACTTTTTATTAAACTCTGATCCAAGTAAAACCACCCAGAGAAAACACCAATCCCCTGTGTCCTCTGTCTTCCCCATCTCAAAGGAGTCCTGCCTCCCTCCTCCAGTGAGACTCTGAGAATATAGTACTTGACCTGGCATCCAACTTACCCTGCCCTTAATGGCTTTCTGTGTCTCAACACTGTCCACTGCCTGTGTTCTGCTTCGGGATGAGTTACATAGATAAGGTCATGAGCACCCCACTGCTTGCCTTAGTGGCTTGCAGTGACTATTAGTAATTATTATGGCAGGAGGCCAAAGGTGGCAGCAGTAAATTAACTTTCAGGAGAGTTAAGTTTATAAGCAATGGACTAACAATACTATTCTCATTCTCTCTCTCTCTCTCTCTCTCTCTCTCTCTCTCTCTCTCTCTCTCTCTCTGTCTCCTTTCACGTTCAGTCAGCTTGTGGGTGAGGAATGGTGCATGGCTAGCTCCACTATCCAGAGAAGGAACTAGAAGCTCTGGGAAGCAAGGGATTTGCTTAGCACTTGCTCATCCAATAGATGGTAGGCAGCTGTCTGATGCCTACATACAGGGATTATTCTAGAATATCTACCTGGCTTACTGAGATGGGAAAATGAGTCACCAATAGAAACCTCAGCTTTCCCTTCACTTAGCTTGGCCTCAAGATACCCGATCATCATAACTATGTTTGGCTCAGACAGAAAAGGCGTAAATGCCACCTCCCCAGGGTCCCCCAGAGCTGGGCTAGATCACAGAGCTCTTGGCATTGAGTCCCAAAGCTACCAGGAAGCTCCTATTCCCTCTGTGTCTACCATTCTCTGCCCAGCCCTCGAAAACAGACCATTCAAAGGCAGCAGAGATGGAACAGAGACTTTAAACTTGGCTGTTGGAGCTCAGCAGTCCTTCCATCTGCCCTGCCCTGCCCTACAGCTCTGAGTGTGGCTTTACCACAGGGACAACGGGTCTGTTTCCAGAGGTTGAAAAAGCAACTGCTTTTGGTTGGGGAATGACAGAAGTGGTGCTCAGTGACAAGCATGTGGCCCACACACTCACGCTGCACATGGAGGTGGACCTCTCTCTGACTGCTGTGGGCAGCCACAGAGAGCTGGCACCGCAGTGTCCGGTCATGGTCCTGCCAGGACAGGGCCATGTGAAGGGTCTCTAGGTGGCTGATGCCAGTGGGTTCGAGCTTCTGAAGGCTGGAGATGACAGAGCGAGAGGGGTCCTGGCCCTGCCACTGCAGAGTGAGGCGTTCCTGCAGGCACAGGTAGGGTGTGGAGCAGTTGAATTTCACTTCCGTGCCCTCAAGCAGCTCCTCTGGGGCAGTGATAGTGGGAGCATTGGGCGTCTCTGAAAACAAAGACAGCAGTTCTCAGGACTGGTCTTCACCCTGCCTGATCCCTCTTGCCCTGAAAACCCCAACCAAAGGGTCAGGGAGGCTTCAAGGAAGGGAGAATTTTTAGGGGAACCCCCTCCCCACTACAGAGGAAACCAGGGCTGGGCTGAGGCTGAGGGCCTGGGCGAGGTCCAGACCAAAGAATGTGGCTGTGAGTCTGGGAGTCCCTGCCAGATAGTGGCTAGGCCACAGGCTCCTCACCTGTCACAGTGACCAAGGTGCCTTTGATATCTGACCAGCGATTGCCCTCACTGATCTCAAAGCGGAAGTTGTAGGTGCCGGAGTCCTCGGGCTGCAGGTCCTTCAGCAGCAAGTTGCACACTCTGTGATCCATGTTCCCTAGTAGCTCGGCTCGGCCTCGGAAGCGCTCCTCCACCAGTGTGGGGTTCCCTGAGTGGCTCACTACCTGCCTCTTGTCTGAGTAGTCATAGTACCAGATGGCTGTGATGCCATCTGGCACCTTTACATCCGCCGGGAAGCTGAATATGCAGGGGATAAGCAGGCAAGACCCCTTCAAACCCTGCACATCCTTGGGACTAGAGACACCCCATGAGGTCTGGCCTGGAGGAGGGTGGGAGAGAGACACAGAAGAGGGTGATATAGGCCCAGGGGTACTGCAGAGCCCTGTCACCTGCCTCAAACAGGCCCCGACCCTGCCCTCTTTCCACAGTGCTCCCCAGCCAGTACCCCAGGGATACAGCATATACTGGAAGCTAAATCTGACCTAGGCAGAGTCCAGTCTGCTGCACTGGGCCCCTAGAGGCCAGACCCTGTGAGAGGCTCTAGCCCTGTGCAACTTACCTGAGGGGAAGACTGAGGCCAGGAGAAGCAGTGAGAGTAGGAAACACATTGCCAGTACTTGGGTGGGCCCTGGTGCCTATGAGAGCAGAGTAACAGGCTGGCTGGACTCACAGAGGCTTCCTAGCAATGCCTTGGGGGCACCTCAGCCCCAGAGCCTGCAGAGCCTCGGCAGTCTTCATCTGCTATGCTTACCAATCCAGCCAGAAGGCAGGGTGGCTAAAAACTGCTGGGACAGCCACCAGCAAGGAACCAGAAGCCCGTGCTCCTAGCTCAGGCTGTGCCTAGAAATGTCCTCACTTTGTGGCATGCCCTAGAAAGCCTTCTGTGTGCCTTGGCTCCACCCCAAGTTCTGCTTTCTCTACCCCTCAAGGATACAGCTCCAAGGAGCAAGAACAGCTGTGTCACCACCACCACCACCCCCGTCCCTTCCCTATTACCCACACCAGTAGAGCCTAGAGCCCAAAGAGACCCAGTGACTTACTCTAGGGTGCCCAGTGAACATAATGGCCTTATTTGAGATTTGTCTCCTACATCTAGCCTTACCAGCTATAGACCAAAATGAGAGTTGACTGAACTTACCAAAATGTTTATAAGACAGAAGCCAGGTGCACGCCTTTAATCCCTGCACTCAGGGGGCAGAGGCAGGTGGATCTCTGTGAGATGGAGGCCAGCCTGGTCTACATAGTGAGCTTTCCAGGCCAGCTAGAGCTACATGGAGACCCTGTGTCAAAAAGGCCAAAAAAAAAAAAAATAGTTCTCACTTTGTAGCTCAGGATGGCCTCAAACTTACAGTAATCCTTCAGCCTCCTGACAAAATTCTGACTTTTAAAAGTCACTTGTCTCTTTAAAAACGCTTTGAATCCCCATTGCCCGTGAGATTGGAATGACCCACATTTCTTGCACCCTGTGCCACCTCCTTTCTCTTCTCTTCATAGACTCACTCTGGGATCAGTCCTGCCTACTCACAGGCTCCCTAGCTACCCAGCTATGTCTCCATCACAAATCATCTTTGCCTACAAAACCTTACTTAGCCTTCAGGATGCTGCACAAATGGGATTTTCCACTTTCCTTCTGCAGAAGAAAACCCAGGTGAAAACCTTCATGGCTTTACTATGACATCAAAAGCACAGCCAATAAAAGAAAACTTAGATGATGGTGTTGTTTTTGTAATGTTGGCACTTGAGCTGTGGCAAGAGGATTGTAAGTTTGAAGCCAGCTGGGGCAAGGCAGTAAGACCCTGTCTCAAAAGAGAAAAAGGAAAAAATAGGTAATATGGACATAATTAAAATGAAAAAAATTGTGTGCCTCAAAAAATATTTTGCAAGGGGCTAGAGAGATAGCTTTGTGATTAAAAGTACTGGCTGCTCTTGTAAAGGACCTGGGTTTGATTCCCAGCACCAACATATTGACTAACAACTGTCCAAAATTGTAGTTCCAGGGGATCTGATGCTCTCTTCTGGCCTCCACAGGCATCTCATGACATGGGTGCACTTACATGCATGCAGGCAAAACACTCATATACATAAAATTAATTAATTAATTAATTAAAACTACTATTCAGTGCTGCTCAGATGTAAGACTTCAAATCTTAGTCTCCAATACTGTAGTTCCCACCTGTAGCTAAGGGAGACAACCAGCTATTGTTCTAAAATGATGGATAAATCTGTTTTCTCCCCCTATCTAGATGCCTTTGAGAGGGAGCTGACACTGATTGTAACCACTCCAACAGCTATCAAAATACCTGAAAGTAAATCCTGAATCCATCACTCATGAGTCCAGCCTTGGCAGACAAAAGAAAAAGGAGGAGGACCCCAATAGAGGGATGCTTTTGGAAGCCCTTGTCAAGAAATTCCAATGGACTCTCATATGAACATTTGAAACTTCACATCTCCCATTCATGATTCAAGGACTTTCTTCTCCCCTTAGAGACAAGAGTTACACAATTTGGGAGTCTTTTAGATAGACCCACTAAAGGGGTACTCCAATAGCCTCACCCTGTGTCCCTGTTCAACATGGAAGAAGCCAAAATGGTCTGTGTCCCTATTCCCTATAGGCAATTTGGGTAACCCCTTCAGAAGATTGTGTGATAAGAATAGGAGGTAGGAATTGGCTAGGCAGTTAGGGTAAAAAGACCCCAAAGAAAAGTAACCAGTTTCTTGGTTAAAACTCACAATGTCCTTGGGCCTCGTAGCAACCTACTCCATTCTAAAGGCCAAAAATGTTGAAAATGTTTGGGAGCTTTTATCTAATCCTTAAAAGATTTTAGGGTTACCTCTTCGGAAGGGGAATGTTAGAGTAGCCAAAAGCCCGATAGAAAACTAAATCAAAGAAGAAGAAAAAGTGCATGAAGTTATCAGAAAAAAGTGATGGGGAGATATGGGAGGAGTTGGAGGGGAGGGAGTGGGCATGGATTTGATCAAAACCTTATATGCATGTATGAAATTCTCAATAAATTATTTATTTAAAAAATACTATGCAGAAGGTGGTTGTGGTGGTACATGCCTTTGTTTCCTGCACTCAAGGAGGTGAAGGCAATAGAGCTCTGTGAGATCAAGGCCAGCCTGGTCTACATAATGAGTTCCAGGACAACTAGAGCTTCAGGGAGACCCTGTCTCAAAAGAATAAATAAAATACTATGCAGAGAATAAAGAAAAGAAATCCCTTAGAATCAGATAAAAATGTTTGCAAATCATTTCACAGGGATTAATATCCAGATCATATAGAGAATTCTGACAAGAACAACAATACACTGCCCTCCAAAATAAAACAACCCAACTTGAAAAATGGACAAAGAACTTGAATAGACACTTTTTAGTGAAGATATGCCAGTGGCCAATTAGCTAATAAAAAGATGCTCATCATTAGCCATTAGGAAAATTCAAGTGAAAACTGCACTGAAGGGTTGGGGAGACAGCACATGGTATAAGGTCCCTAGCACCTATGCTAGGTATGGGCACACACATAGCCCCAGTCTGGTGGGGTCAGAGGCAGAAGGATTTCTGGGGCTTTTTGGCCAGCCACCCCAGCTATAAGAGACCCCGTCTCAAGGGAAGAAGGCGAAAAGTGATAGAAGAGGACACACAATGTCCTCCTCCGTCCTATGCACATACACACCTAGGCAAGCACACGAATTTAACACACACACACCACACACACACAGTGAGCTTCCACTTCACACCCACTGTGATGGCTACTAATGAACAAGCAAACAAAATAGGGATAAAAATGTAGAGGAAAATGTGCAAAAATTAGAGTCCTATACATCATTAGTGGGAATGTAAAATGGTGCAGCTGCTATAAGAAAGAGTTTGGGGACTCCTCAAAAAGTCAGCATAGAATTATGAAATGGGTCAGAATCCCACTGCTGGATATATAATCTAAAACAGGGGAAGCAGGGTCTCAAGCAGACACTTGTAAGCCAATGTTCATAGTAGCATTATTTACAATAGCCAGAAGATTGAAAGAGCCCAAGTGTCTATTAAGAGAGGAATGGATAAAGAAAATATGATCTGTGCATACAGTGGACTATTGATTGGTTAAAAGGAGCATGCAAATATGACCCTTGTTATATAGCATTATGCTGAGTGAAATCAATCAGACATATGGCAAATACTGTATTGCTCAGCTTACATGAGTCATCTAGAATACACAAATTTCTACAGACAGAAAGTGGAATGAAAGTTACCAAGGACTGGAGGAAGAGGGAATGTGTGGAGTTACTATATAATGGATACAGGGATTTTGTTGTGGATGATAAGAAAGTTCTAGAAATAGACAGTGGTGATGGCTACATAACAGATCAGTAAATTTTCTATCGTGAATATTTTACTACACACACACGTGTTGCCAACTTTGCAATCCTCTCAGCTGCCTGCTGATTCAGCAGCATGACAAGAGGTCAGAAGTGGGGACAGGAAGCTCATGACATCTCCCATCCCCAACCCCATCTACCACATGATTGTGCTAGCTACCAGAGGGCACACCTGGAGAGATGCTGAGTATTGCCTGGGCCTGGACAGAAGCCTGAGTTGCTCACAGTACTAGTGCTCTGGAGAAGGGAGAAAGGGTGTCTTCGCAGGGTGAGTGACAAATGGCCTGGGCAGGACAGAAAGAACACTGTTTCCCAGGAGCCCAAGGCTGGGATACTCCAGTACCCACTGCCTCCAAGTGATGTCCTTGGGTGCTGGAGACCGGCCCAGGATGGCCCCTTACTTTGAGAAAAGGCAGCTTGATAAGTATATTTGGGGTGAGAATGGCTCTAAGGCCCAAATCCACAGAGGGTGTCATGGCCAGCCTCTCCCTCTGCAGCCAGGACATCAGCAAGCTATTGTCTATGCTGTCCCAGGCTCCCTGGCTCCTCTAACTGAGGTTCTGGAAGAGCAATAATGAGTCTCTAGAGAGATGGTGGAATTTGGGCATCCAAATGCTAGAATATAGGACACCACATGGCGATGCCACTGTTTGGCCCAGACCTAACACCACAGAGATCAGTCCTACTGGAAGTTCAGCATACTGGCTCAGCCTGTTCCAGCCCAAAGGCCTAGAGAACTATCCTGGAAAAAGAAAGAGCATGAGCCCAGTGTGGTGGCGCACGCCTTTCATCCCAGCACCTGGGAGGCAGAGGCAGGTGGGTCTCTGTGGGATGGAGGCCAGCCTAGTCTACATAACAAGTTCCAGGCCAGCTGGGGCTACAGCGAGACACTGTCTCAAAAAGACCAAAAATAGAAGCTGGAGAGATGACTCAGCAGTTAAGAGCACTGGTTGCTCTTGCAGAGGACCCGGGTTTGATTCCCAGCATCTACATGGTGGTTAACAATTGTCTTTAAGTCCAGTTCCAGGGGATTAGACCTCCTCAGGCATTTCACAACACAGGTGCGCTTACATGCATGTATGCAATATACTCATACACATAAAATAAAATAAAAATAATAAATTTATAAAAGAAAGAGGGGCTGGAGAGTTGACTCAGTGGTTAAGAGCACTGACTGCTCTTGCATAGGACCCAGGTTCGATTCCCAGCACCCACACGGAGGCTACAAACCATCCTTAACTCCAGTTCCAGGGGAATCCAAAGCCCTCTTCTGACCTCCGTGACATTGTACGACACGGGTGCACTCACATACATGCAGGCAATACACTCGTACACATAAAATAAAAATAATAAAATATTAAAAAAAGAAAGAAAGAAAAAGAACAGAGACAAAACCAGAAAAGGAGAGCCTTATCCCTGTGTGTGTGGAGCGGGGGTTGGTAGGGGACGTGCTCCTGAG